ATTAATTGTTCAGCTAAAAATGAAATTCCATGGTGGTTTTAACGATTTAGGTATACACAGCTTTAGTTCTTAGAGCAGACTAAAAATAGTGATTTTAATTTATTCCTGCTGCCTACAATTACCCACAACCATGTATTTTTAAATATTTCCAGCCTATAAAAATTACTAATTTTTGCCACTTGTGTTTATCTGCATTTAGACTTTGATTTGGATAAATTAAGCTCTCAAGTGTTCCTTGCTTTATGAAACTCTGCATGTTGTACACTTCAACACAAATAAATGACTTGTACCATTAGAGGTTTAAGTAATGTAATGTATTTCACGCTCAGCCTGAAGCTGGATTCCAATGAAGTTGCTAATGCACGTAATGATTAAGTGTAACTCAAATACTAACTGTGTTGTTGAAAACATGACAGGCAATAATTTGGTCTATTATATTCTGCCATTTAATTGCCTAGTACAGACATTCTCTGACACGTTATGAAGCAATGATTTACAATTATTCAAGCTGCAAAGGTCAGAAAGTGACATTATAATCATCTACATAGAGATCCCTTCTAATGCACAAAAACTAGGTAATGCCACAAGCGTGCACGCGCACACGCACGCGCGCACACACACACACAGTTTTATCGCATTAGTAACTTTCTATTTAAGGTTTCTTAAACCAACTGGGAATAAACAGTCCCTAAGCACAGTGAAGAACAATTTTAAAAGTCTGGAATCTTCTTATGAACCCAGAGATGACAGATTTAGAAAATGTCCTTACTCTCTCCTGATTAGGTAAATCCTATTCATCTAATTAATTCCACACACACAACTCATGAGCAGACACAGGGAAATCCATCAGTAAAAAACACAGTCTCTAAATCACATATATTGGGGTCTATGCTTCTGAATAATAGCATGTGAAACTTAGGTATCATTTCCTAGCTTTATGAAAATCACGGGCCTAATTATAAAAGTTTTCTGTAATTCTTTAAAGTTAATTAACTAAAAAATAAAAACTCAGGTTGATGTCATCTTTACATTTTTGGCACTTATTTTATTCTATAACACAGACATGTTCTACCACTCAATTGAGTACAATAAATTATCAACACATGAAGGACAATGGTGGAAAACAGTAAAATCATTCAAAACACACTTTTAAGTAGGAAGACTGAAACAAAGGAACAGATGGGGGCTGGGGGAAATGCCAGAATCTGAAAGTAAGACATTATGCAAGCAATTGTTTAAAGAGCGTAAATCTGAGCAAAAACAGAAAATAAAAGTGGCTAGTGGGAGGAACTAGATAAGTTACATTTATTACATGCTAGTGAAAACAACCTGGAGGGGGGAAAAAGGAGTACTAATTAAAGTAAGTCAGTAATGAAAAAACAGGTCTGACAAAAAGCAGAAAAAGAAAAGGAATAATTAAAACGAAGAGTAACAATGATCCACCATTATTAGTTGCATAATTTTAGTACATCACTAAACATGGGATAACAAACAAGAGTTCCACGATCACACAAAGCTATCATGACCAGCAAATGCTATGATTATTAATCAAGACATTTACTAAACCACAAAGCACTGCATAAGCACTACTTTTGAGTGGCTACCGTACACTACTTCGTACACAGAATTAAAGTAAATTTAAAGGAATTAACATGACATGATGTCTAAAATGACTTTTTAGATTTTCAAGTTCCTGAATACTAAAAACAATAAAGGTAGAGATCATGAATTTAATAAAAAGACATATTCTGCCTACTTTTAAGTATAAGGTTATTAAATAAGTTACTGACTTTTTCAGAGATGCTTTCCATTATTTATTTTTGCTTCCACTAAGCCCTACATCAACCCGTGATAGATTTTCATGTTAACTATGCATCAAATGCCTAAATATAAATACCAATATATTCTATAAAATTCCTTTCTTGATCATACTTGGATGTAAGAAAAACATGATTAAGAAACTCTACTGTTCAAAAAAAAAATGTTCTTCCTAAAATCAAAAGCAAGATAAATGGGTCTTAAACACTGTCTAAAAGATGTACTTAAAAAGGAGAAGTGCAAAACCAGACACTGCTGAAATCTTTACTATGACATGAGCAGGTGGTCCTTGCTCAAGTAGAATTTAAATTCTAAATTCTGAGCCCCAACTAAACAATAGGAATTTGACTTTTAACACATTCAGCTTCTTCTGTCAAACTAATTTTAATCCATGATACAAGGCAGCCAAGATTAACCAATGGGGGTTAAGGAGGAAACCATCCTAAAACTGATCTTGAAGATTCAAAGATCAACATAGGTCAGACAACTAACAGTTAAAAGAGTTTTTGATATGGGAGTTGCTACCACCCAACTCTAAAATTAAGGTCTTCTCATAGAAAGATAAGGAAAAGAAACAATAAAAGTAACCTGAAACATCAGTGTGGAGCTTGATTCAACAAAACTTAGTGTCTGTCAGTTCCATCAATTTCATCATAAAGTATTACATTTTTCTTCAAGAAAACCAAGTTTTTACTACGAAAAAAAAAAAGAGTATAGTATTTAAGTAGTAATTTCACTTTAAAAGTGTGCCTGCCCTGATATTTTTATGTATTATTCAATCAGGAGTATTTGAGAAGTAACTTCATGTGATTCAAATAATGAAGTGCTCATTAATACAATTCTAAAAGACTGAGACTAAGATACTAACTACTGGAAAAAAAGAAAACAGTGCAGGACCTTCTGTTTGTGACAAAATTATAGAGTTAATGTTCCCAAAAGATCGCCTCACCTCTTACAACACGATTTTATAAAAGATGAAATTTATAGTAATTAAAGCTGATGAAGAAATGCAGCATGAGCTGCTTATGTTCAGGAACTAATAGGTCCACTGAGCATTTCTAAGATTATTTAGCCATCAATGATAATGAATTGACACTGTCAGCAATGTTAATGTACCAATGCTCTCTCGTGCTTCTAGATGGATAACCAATCCCTGCTTTTTTTGTTTCCCATTTTCAATCTTTAAGTTCCACACTACTCTATTCCTATGAAACACAAAAATCTGACACTTTTTCTTTAACATTAGACTATTCAATTCATTATTGTTGTTTCAACTACATAAATCAATAGTTACTCTTTTGTTTACTCCAATTCTTCAGAACTTTAAGCTTTGCTATAAAAGTAACTATCCTGTTAAAATGTCACATAGCCTGCAAATTAAATTTCATCTCAAAAAATAAAAAATTATCTCATAGTCAGATGAAAGTTAATGGCTACCATAATTCTGAAAGATACAATCCTGGAATCTAGAATATCTGTTCTACACATGTGCTCACACGTGCGTGTGTGTGTGTGCACACATTCACAGACAGCTCTCTATGGCAACAATATAAAACTCAGTATGTGCATACTTACTTATAATTCTGTATCTTGCTAATCATGGATATAAAGTACAAGTGCAACATTTCAGTTGAATGTAGCAAGCAATTAGCTAAGCAAAGGGTGCACTGTTCAAATTATACAATTAAGACTAATTAATTATGAATTGTTTGATACAATATATGTCAAAAAATGTTCTCTGAAAAAGTTTCTTCTCTTTCCAGGGTCTTAATAACTCCAATAAAAAATGAATAGAATTAGATTCCAACTAACAGAGTATACAAAATTTATTTACTTATTTCTCAAAAACAAGAAAGAAACTGCTTGTTGTCACCTAATAGAAAATTTTCATTGAAGTCAGGGCCATCTTCTCTCCTATAACTCATAGGATAAAAACAATAAATGAGTTATCTTTTAAAATTCCAAGACCTATAGCAATTAAAATGAGCCATTTGGCACTTGACTCCTGCAGCTAAAATCAGTAGTAACAAAACTCATTTTCCCACTGATCTTCAGGGGGCTTCAAGGCAAAGGTTCATCTTCATTTACTTTAGCTGCAAGTCACTGAACCATCAATCCTCCCAATGAATAAATCACAGACATTGGTTAATAAAACTGCTTGCAAAGTTATTTGTAAAACTATCTTAAGGCTCAACTGCATCCTGGGATGAAATGTACTGTCCAACAAAAACGCACAGGCTGTTTCTGAGTTAAAGGATATTTACATGGTAATATCAATCTAAAGAATCTTCTACTGAAAATACAACAATATAACATGTGCACATTGCATAATTCAATTGAACCAGCAATAGTTTGTAAACGAACCTTTAGGAATCGCAGATTTCTTAGGTTTCCCATAAAGTGTTTCTATATGATGTACTTATTAATTTCTGTAGCATAACCTTAAAATATACTTTTAATCAGAAGTAGACTATTAAAATACATCTCTAAATGTCCTATGACACCATCTATGTTATAGCATTTTAAAACCTTTTAAACATTTCTGCTAAATTAATTGGTTTTACATTAAGGCACCTCAATACTTTCTATTAAATGTAACACATTTGAATGACAAACATTAAGAATGGCTCTGCAAAGAGCCATTAACTAAAAAAGGTAACTGGTTTTGAAATAAAGTTATACAAAAATACATTATACACTGTTTTTATCACGTCTTCCTTCAAATAATCAGTAACTAGCCATCTAAATTTGAATCTGAATCCTTATATAATAAGTCCAATGGATCCAAAGTGCCACTGTGATTAAAATTAAAGCCAAAACTAAAAGGAAAAAAAACATACATAGACATTCCTAAAGCTATATTGTGTATTTTTTAATGTCTTTAAATGGAATTTATAGTTCTCTCTGGCAATGTGAATGAACATCCTATAATTTAGTCAATTTACAGATTACAGGTTCAAATTGACCTTGTAGCCCATAAAATTGCTCATCTTCAGAACAGGATTAGAAGTGGGAGAGGAATGTCATAACTGTATTTAAGGAATTTACCATAACAAAGGAAAGGAGGATATGCATGCATAATTTTAGCCACTCTTACTCATATCAGTTCTGAATTCTGAAACAATGAATATCCTGCACAGGCTTCCTAGTTCACATAGTAGCGATGGCTTCAATTTACTCACCCACAGACATGACACTTGTATTCCCTCATCCCAAGGTGCCTTTTCACATGGTTTCTGGCATCCCCAAGCTGAGCTGTTGCAAAATGGCATATCTTGCACTTGAATGGTTTTGATCCTGAGTAAATTTAACATAAAATAAGATTTGGTTTGAATAATACATTACTGATAGTTTTAAAAAGAGGGCTAAATCCTAAATCATATCTCATATCTAATTAAGAATTTCTGTCCCCAAAATGGTATGCTTGCATTCATTTATATCTCAAATAGACTGATTCCATAATTATTCTACCCAGAAGGCTTTAATCTTTCAGTGAATCTTCCCAACTTTCAATAATATTTCTGATTTAAAGTCAAAAATGATACTGTTGAGCAGCATTAAGTAGACAAGACAAGCTAAATAATTTTACACATTTTTCTTACCATTCACAAAAATACTTCTTAAAGGTACTCTATTTAAAATGGAACATTTTTAAAATACAATTGCAAACAGGGTGACGGGTATCTCTAAAAGAGTATCATGGAGCATGTTTTCCAGTGGCCATCTTGTTTTCTCCTATTTCCCAAGCTTTGAATTTATAGATATTAAAAAGTTTTTTTCAGATGTTTTTGCTGTCATTTATTTCAAATGATCCACAATATTACTATTTTATAATCATATACAATGTATGAATATATAGTGGATAAACTACTGTGTTTTTATGATCATTATATAATTTAAAAAGCTATGATGATTCAGCAAATCCAGAGTATTGACATTTTGGTTGCTATTGATTTCATGAACAAGTACTTCAACACAAAAGTCACAATGATAATAATAAAATGCTTTAATCATTTCATAAGAAATAAGAACAGACTGTACTCAAAAATGAGAAAATAAAACTAAATGAAACTCAATAAAATCACTACCAGCAATAGATAAGATTTTTAACTAAAACATACTAATATTTAACGCACATTAATGAGAAACAATGTTCTTCTAGGGTACAAAATATGTACATACCATTTCCCAATTTTCTAACCACTATATTTTCAAGTTAATCAAAATAATAAAAACCACAGTTTTTTATAATATATTTCCAGATTTTTCATATAATGTTTACTAACTACTTGGTGAAATACCTCTCCTGATATAAGTAGATAGGATATGAAATATGTGAGAGTTAATAAGTATACAAAAAAGAGCCCAAATTTAAAAATTGCAATAAATCATATTTGATCAATGAATGTTCATGCAGTGTGCCCTTGAAAAAAGAATCCTCCAAGAATACTTTGTTGAAACTGAAGCACTCAGTAAAAAAATTTAGAGTCTTAAATTTCAATTTAATTCCCAAAAGCTGACGAAAAAAGTGAAGCATTTAATTTTAATCTTCCAACAGAAATAAAAAAGTCAACAGTACTAAGCATGGGCAGACAAGGTTGAATATTTCACAGTTCAATGACAATGAAGCTAGATCTCTGAATACTTCCATTTCTATGGTTAGAAGTAGATATAAAATATATTTAGCACCTGAATGGCTACATCTAATCAAGTTTATATTTAAATGTCAAAAGCAGGTTGAGACTGCAGCTTATAACAATCACATTCTATCAATCACTTCAGAAAACTATGGTTTATTTAAATGGTTCTGATAAAAAACTAAGCTTATCACTACTTTATAACATTAACATAGACAAAATTCTGTAAAGAGACTTCTGAAAAGAGTGAGAACTAATCTACTCATATTTAAACTGAAATGCTAAAAGAATAATTTGGAAATCATTAATTTACAATAATATCAGATTTCAAATAAAAGACAAAGTTCTCCCAATATCTACTTCTATGGCAATTTGGGGAAGTTGAACAAAAAATAACTCTGGCTGAGTTTTGGCTTTACTCACACAGCACCTGCACTGTGACAGTTCCTCTCAAGTGGCACCAAAGCCACACAGGTGGAATGGGGACCTTTGTATTTTCAATTTGCTCTTCACAGCTATTCTATGAGGAACTCCTTCCTATAGGCCTCAGTAATCACTTCTGCAATGTACGGATAACACATCGATAAGGCATTCTACCCAAAACCACAAAGGTCTTGACTCTCCTTCATATCTTCTATTCAGAGTAGACTGTGTTAGCATCTCCTTTTGGTCCGGTAAGAATTCAAACACACACCGGGGCTGGTGGAATAGCTCAAGTGGTAGAGTGTGGCCTAGCAAGTGTGAGGCCAAGTTCAAACCCCAGTACCCAGAAAAGAAGAAAAAAAGAAAAAAAAAAGAATTCAAACACCAGCTGAGGCGATACTTCTCAATATAAGGAAATGAAAATCCATCCCTTTTTCTTTTTTCCTAACTGATAATGCTTCCACTTTAAAGCTTCTTATACACAGTATAAAACAGATCCAGGTACAGGCCAACCCTGTAAAACCACGTATTTCTAATTTGTTTTTCTCTAAGGTATATTTTATTACTACAAGCTTTCAATGTTATCTTAAATAGGTCCATTCCTTGGGGCAGTATTATTCTCAGAAAGACTTTTAAATTTGGTCTGTGAGGTTTTTTTGAAGGGGAAAAACTAAAGAGGCCCTCTAACTTTCTGGCACCTGATTATTTTACCAGAACAAATTCCAAAGACTGAAAAATCTAGTCTGCATTACTAACTGTTATGCATATACAGATGTGACACTAACATTCATTGGAAAAGTCAAACAAAAACCAGTAAGTCTTAAAGGAATTAAGTAAGAAGTAATGAAGAGGTATATCATCTATTGCTTCTCAACCACAGTCTAAATTCCATAGTCCTTTCTGAACACTTAATTCATTCATCCTTTCATTCACTTACTCACTTACCCACTCACTCCCTCAATTGCTCATTCATTCACTCATTCAACAAATAATACCAAGTGCCAATTATGAGTTGGGCATGTGGAAAGAAATGAAGAAAGTAGTCTCCCTGTTCTTACTGTATTCAGCCTTCAAATTAACTCTCCTAGTGATCTGTGTGTTCTCTAAACTGTAATACATTGAGTTCCAAGAGTTTTCAGTGAAGTCACAAACGCCATACATATATCCCCACAACGACACTTTGAAAATACACAAGTGATCAGAGCACTCTGAACATAAGCAGAATGGCTTCAGACAATCTTGAGGCCTAATAGTATCTTCCATGTCATGTTAAACAAAAGCTTTAGCAGAATACTGCAGGACAGAGAACATAGCTCCATGAACCCCATTAATGTGAGAAAGAAGACTGCTATTATTGGTCTCACTGCTTCACACCAGCGAATGCATGGAAAACTCTAAGATGCTTTCTTCCTAAAGTCTTGATAACGAAAACTCATTTATTTCTTAGAGGGCTACTTTTATCATGCTAAAGATGAGGGAAAGGTTATATAAAACATAAAACAAATCACAAAATATGAAAAAAGGACTGGAAGAGTAAGCCCTTTTCCAGTTAACCATTAATAAGAGTCCCTGCATTACTATTTCATGGACATAAGCAAAGTATCAGAAGGGCAATTCATTTTAAGATGCTCCAAGAATGGGGGCGGAAAAATTGCATTATAACCTGAGACCAACTTCTCCAAAAATGACTTGCAAAATTCTAATAGTGGAGTGACAATTCGTACTCAGGAAGGATTTCTCTGTGCGCTCCATAAAAATGTACTTGCTGATAAGACCAATAAAAGATGTTTTAAAAAAAAAAAAGTATGCTAACTTTTACTAAATGTTACAATCAGTGATGTAACTTATATAAGCAGGGTTACTTTGTCACATATTGACAGTTACCTCACTTTCACATCCACATTAACTCGATTTTAAATGCAATTAATACATATAGTCAAGGAAGACTAATGGACTACATTCTGCACTTAACCTGGTGGACATTTTCAAATGGCACAAGTGACCAGTGCAAACCTATTTTGCATTGTAAACGACTAAATAAATCTTAATGGATTAAGAATGATCAGCTATCAACACACAAGGGAAATTAAGTGCTGAAATGCCTACATTGATTATTTTAAATTATTAGCCTTACTCTGTTCTTGAATTTGTATGCTTTTAGTGAGCTCTAACACATTTACAAGACTTATTGACTATAATTACAAGAGAATTCAAGTAATGGACACATCAATTAAAAGCAACATGTCTTGACCAGACAGTTGCATAAAGAATTCTAAAAAGAGCTCCATTAGCATCTTCCCCTTAGTTTTATTCAGTTATCTGCCTTAAGAGGGCATATTAAGAAAATGCATATTTTCTGTGCATATGAACAGACCTAATTTCTAAGACCATATAATTTCAGAAAAGTGAGCTGCAATAAGATACTGACAGAGGTACTAATTATGTAAACAAATAACCATTTAAACTTACTCCAAAAAATAGTTTTATGGCATGTGACTAGTTGAGATTGGTAGTACAACATTTATATTTGCCTAGATTAATCTTATGTAGGTTGTCCTATTACTTTTTTCAATGGAAAACTTTTATCTATCTTTAATCATCCTCACCTAGAAATAATGCTCTATACTTTTCTTTCTCCTTGTAAGCATGCACTAAGTTTCAAAAACTGCATGAATTTAAAGTATAGCTTTAATAATAAGCCATTATTTAAAAGTACAGTAAAGTAAACCTTACAGTGTTAATGAAAATATGTTCATTGAAATGTGAATTTATTATTCAAATCCACTCATAAATTCAACCATGGAGACAGAACTTGTCTAAGCAGAGCACAATGATTTAGAAAAGCTGTCTATTTAAAATAAAGAATGTATGGCAGGTTTATAGAAACACTGCAGTGAATTTTTACATAAATTTAGAACAGTAGCTTATGCATTTCCCACAAAAAAGTGCTTTTTTTCAATTTTCTCCCCAAATTAAACGTTAACATGGAATACTAAATGTGACTAAAGCAGGTGCTACCTCCATGAAAATCAAATCCCAGTACATATTGACTGAAATGTGTTGACTAATTTTGATCCTTAAAAGTAGAATCTTCCTGCCTGGGGTTATACTTCTGGATATAAAATATCTGGTAATGAATACTTTTATATCCCTGAAATTGCAAGAAAAATTTTATTAAAAGCCAAAAGCCATTTAATATGTCCTCCAAAAACATAAAGTGTCACTTAATATATACTTTGGAAAACCAAGTAATTAAGACATAGAACAAGTGAAAAATTGTAGTAGGGATTTTAACAAAAGCATCGGAGAGACTAGGCTTTTTGACAAAAGTAAAAGAGACTTATCAACCAACCTGCCTTTGGAATCACTTCTAAAAATGTTAAGTGTCAACAATGACTTATTACAGACGTAATAAGAGCACCACATGGCAGTGAAATGTGAAATTAGGTGGAAGGTCAACAAACAAATGCATATCAAGATGGGAACAAATGTCCAAACTTTATCATACCTTTGCACTTTAGTTTACATACCTGTATGAGTGCGAATGTGTGCCAGAAATGCCATCGAATTACTACTTCGACACATCTTCCCACAGTACTTGCAAACATTTCCCTGGTTTTCCTCTCTTTCACGATTGATTTGCTCAGTGTCTTCCACTATATACTTATTCACCTCTCGTAGCAATTCCTCATGCTGTCCTTTAATATGTAGAAATAAATTTTGTTCAGAATCAAAGGGCTCTGTACACTTGACACATTTAAAGGTGGCCCCTCCCTCTGGAAGCTCTTCTACACTGGCCTGTTCATTTCTCATATGACCAGCACTAGCCAAATGCTGATGAAGGTTACTTTCTGTATAGAATGATTTTCCACACAGTAAACAATGAAAGTGTTTCTCTTTCGTGGGATGCTTCATGGCTATGTGAACATTCAGTCCACTCAGTCCATCTGCTAAGAAGCCACAATCATCACAACGGATTCGTGTGGATTCACCAAAGGAACCACCTTCAACTTTCTTCTTTTTCAAACCTTGAGCACAGTCTTTTATGGGCAACTCACTAATTTTCACCCCAGTTGCCATCAGATCCTCTTCCGACTGGTCTATCAATTCACCATCTTCAGGGTTCTTAATTCTAATTATGGAAGAATCAAACCGGCCAAAACTGTACATGGCCTGCCCTTTATCATCAACACTGATTATAGTTTCATAAACATCATTGCTCACAACTGTGCTATCAGAAGCTGGGCCATCCTCTTCCAAAATAACTTCTGTTTCATGTTGTGAATCCAACAGAATTTCCTTATTCTCCAGAATGGGATTTGTTTGCACATCTTTCAACACCTCTGGATGATGTGCACAACCAGCTTTGTTCTGACCACTATCATCCAGGGTTAGCTGCTCTCTTGTTATCCTCATCACCACAGAGGAAGTGCTTTCAGCAGAAGGCCCCCCATCTAGGACTGCAGCACATGGGCGTTTGTCAAAGACTTTACCTCCACCAGCTCCTTTACCGCCTCCATCTCTCTCACAATGTGTACTTGAATCACCGTCATTCAGCACATCATGGTTTTTCTTTGCTGTCTCAGAATTCAAAGCAGAGCTCCCTGAAATTTCATTCTGAAATCTGCTTGGGGAGACGTAACTAGAGGAAATGTTAAGGGATACCATTTCCTCAGGTTTTATACCTTTATCCTTGACAAGGGGCTGTTGGAAAGTCTCACAAAAGGGATGTTCTTCACTGAAATTAGATTCATCCTCAGTCTCAATTTCTACAGACTCAGGAGCACAGAGTACTTTAGACATATCTAAATTAGTATTCTCATCTAAAATAGAGCAATGTGTAGCATTTCTAGATTTTAGAGTAGCAGATGGTTGGTCTGAAATTATTTGAAATGCCTCAGGATTTTCTGAATGCTCTGCTTCAGGTATAATGACATTTTTGGACATTTCTGCAGAACTCACTTCTCCATTAGAAGAGTTGAGATAAGACTGCCTTTTCATTTTGTGCTTCTCTGTCGCTGCGTGCCTCGTCATCTCTCGACGAGTGACTGCATAGTAATCACAGGCCATGCAATAGAACTCAAACTCTTTTGTATGTTTCCGTTTCACATGCAGCTCTAGAGTAGCAGAGGAGTGGGCATTAAACTCACAGTACAGACACTTGTTATCACTTGTACCTGCAACATCTCTCTGGGCAGATGCATCCCCCTGTTGGAGGTCTTCTGGCTCTGGAGAACCTTGTCCCCTTTCAGCGAGATGACTGCTAACTTCTCCATCTACAGAATGAAAAACATTTTCAGCTTCTACCTCAGTTGGAGTTCCATGATCTATCACTGGCTTCTCTAAAGCAGAGGTATGTGACTCAGTTAACGTTTTAGTTTGTTCATGGGAAACAGCCACTGCTGAATGAGTGTTCTTTTCACAGGCTTCAAGATTGCCCACTTCTGGGCCAACAATTACATCCGAACTGTGTTTCCCATTTGCCTCTACTTCTACCCGTCCTTTATGCTTCTTGGTGGCACAATGACGTTCCATATCTCCCTTAGTTACAGTATAATACTTACAAACTTTGCACAAATAACTATACTGGTGACTGTGTTTACGTCTAATGTGAACAGTCAAATTTGTAATACTAGAGGCCAAAAGACCACAGTGTGAACATGTCCGTGAGATGTTGCCTTTGGGTCTCCCTCTCTTTGGAGTGATGTTCAAAGTGTTCAAGTGTTCACCATCTTTGGTGATGACACCAGGCTGCGACATATCCTTAGGATTTTCTATGCTCTTCTCAAGATAGGAATGCTCCTGTAATTGCACACCTATATGGCCTTCAGTCCTTCCATTTCCGGAAATGTTAAATTCTTCTTTCTTATCATTTGTACCTATACATACCCTTTCAATACATTCTTCAAAACTTAAGCCAATATTATTTTTCTTAGCATTTTCAAGATGCTTGCTTCTTTTAATGTGTTTCTCCATTCCTTCTTTGCTCAATGAATAAAGATTGCATGCTTTACAAAGAAAGTGATAGTCTTGACCATGTCGAAGCTTTATGTGTCTTGTGAGAACAGTAGAAGATCTTGTTTTATAAAAACACTTCTTACATTGAAACTGAGGCTTACTTGAATGCCTTACTTCAATTCCATGGCTTACCCTGGACTTAACAGGTTCTTCCTGAGCAGCTTTCCCTGATTCATTCATAGAATCTTTTGTAGAATCTACTGATTCTAAAGTACTTAAAGTTAATGTCTGTAAAACAGAATCATTGTTCAATGACAGAGAATTCTTTGGTTGAACCAATAAACTAACATGCTTCTCGGTTGCTTTGTGTTCTTCCACATCTTTCTCAGACAAGAACAGATTACAAGCAGTGCAAAGAAAATCCATATCATGCTTTTCCTTCATGTGGTCTCTAAGTTTCATTTCATTCAAGGAAGTAAAGGAACAACACTGACAACTGAGAACAGAAGCAGATTGTTGATGCTGGCTGTTGTGCAAATGTTCCTCCAAGTCCCTCCTCGATGTACTAGAAAAGTCACAAGCCTGACAGTACAATTTCATCTCTCCTGCATGGGACCTTTTCACATGGATTTCCAAATCTGTTCTATGTGTAGCCATTTGACCACAGTCTGTACAGGTACATGAAATCTGGTGGTCAGAAGCTGGCTTCACTGTTGAGGAGTCCAGCTGCATGGAACCCAGAAAACAGGAACTTGTTTTGTCCTGTACCATTTCCAGGGTGTCTACGGTAGTCACACACAGGCTCTGGACATTGTTGCTCGTTTCTATGTGTTTTGGCATTGGTTCTTCAGCATTTGTTTTGATCTGTGTTCTAAAGTTTTTCATACACATCCTCTGAGTTTCACTTGTGCCTCTTTTATTAACTCCTAAAAGATTAAACCTTTTCTTGGCCTGGCCCTTCAAGGCCAAAGTGCCACTCCGTCGGCGAAAACTATTACCTAACATTAGAATATTACGCTCAGGTCTTGCCCTTGAGGTGGTACTGATACTATGTGTTGTCTGCAGGATATTTTTGGTAGATTCTGATTTACCTAAAACACCTTCTGGGGTTACTGTGCCTTCTAGCTGTTTGCTCTCATTTGTAAGATTTCCAGCTACACCAATGGAAATAACATTTTCTTCAACAATCTCTGCTTTTTCTGATGAAATATTCCTGGATGGCACCATTTCAACAAGGAGCTCACTGCTACTACCATGTGGAGAAACACTTCCTCCACAGTCTTTAAATTTGCTCCTCATACTGGGAATTCCTTTTGCATCCCCATCCTTTGCCACTGCTTTAGAGGCTCTTGGTTTCTTTGTTCCTGTGGTACATGTTTTCTTAGGAAAAGGTTGTTTTGTTAAGATCTGTACAAATCCTCCACGAGCAACAAGATTCTGACGCCGGAGATGTGTTTTACCAAGATAGTGCGCATTCAACAGGTTTTCTTCTACACACTGAAAGCCACAAAGTTCACAAGAAAAGACCTTCTGTGGACCATGTGTATGTTTGATATGCATGTGGAGAGCTGAGCTGCTCTCTGCTTTCTGGCTACAGTAGCAGCAGGTATGCTCCTTAGCCTGCTGCATGTGACATTCAGCATGCTTTTCCAAATCAGAGCATGAAGAAAACAAATGGCTACATATACTACACTTGAGAACAGCATCTACATTTCCAAAGGTGCAACTAGCACTAATTTTTTTCAGGGGAAAAGGAGATTCTCTTTCGGTATCAAGGGAAACCGTTTCCTGAGCAGGTTTTCTTTCCCTGTCTGTTTTCAGAGAAAGGGCATCAAGAGTGCTAAAATCACAAGAGGAGGAGAAAGCATTTGGAAGAGCTGCGCCTGCATCTGAGCAGTCCTTCAGGAAGGTCTCCTTTCCTGCCTCATCTAACGGGATGCCCACTTCTTGGGCTGAGCCCTCAGGAGTGCTGGATCCACCAGCACCCTGCTCTCCAGACTCAAAGCGTTCTGCCTCTTCTACTCTCATTCTCTTGGAAGGATGTTCATTTCTCTCTTCCTCCACAATGTCACTGCCAAAGTTGGATGAGTCCAAAAAACCTCTTTTGTTGGTGACACTCTCAGAGGCATTTGCTATCATGTCAGAAACAGGCCCAAAATTGTCATTATGGGATGAAATACTTCTCACATTTTTTGCTTCCTTGCTCATATTTTTGTCCTCGTCGTTCTCAGGTTTATTCTCAGAATCCATTACTAGTAAAGTTCTGGTGACGTTTCTTATGTCAAAGGTGGCTTACGTAGCACTCATAACCTGTGAAGTAAGTAAACATAGTATGAAGTCTTTGAACATAAAATGCACACATATTAGTCTAAAATCAGATGAAAATTATATTGTGAAATTTCCTGATCACATGTATAAAGTTGTTTTTGAAAAGTATACAGATTTATGGAATATCACACCACACTACTATTGACTCAGGAAGCAATACTATGACATACTTGAGAGAAAAAGACACTCTTGACCAAGTTCCAAAAAAAACTCTCATGTTTCAAATCTCTGAACTAGTAGATTTCAGTTGACACCTCTCTTTTCAAATTACATTCAATGGACTCCCACTCTGTGAAACTGAAATAAAGGAAGTCTGGAAGTCAGGCCTTCCCCTCTTCAGCCTCCCATGTGCTAGTGGAAAAGCAACTGCTTCATCCCTTTCCCCAAAAACAAAAGGCCTTACCATAACTTTTCCAAGTGGACCTCAATTAAAATAACGTGTAGTCTGACCACCTATCACCATTCATGTCGAGTTCTTTTGCCAATGAAAAGCCACTCCTATTCTACCTGTCAGTCATTACCTTCCTTATCTCACATTCATTTTTTGTTGTCTGAAGGTTAATGGCAAAGGGAAATGTCAGTGGTACAGGAGAATTAATAGAGTAAGTTTTAAGGGAAAAAAAAGAATTATATTGAATAAAATGCTTTAAAAATCAATATTGCTGATTTTATTTTTCATTGCAATATTTAATTAAATTAAAACATATCCTTTTCCATTTACTTCACACTATGACTAGAATTTTCAGCCAAATGCTATTTTATTTGATGTTAATAAAAAGTCATCAATATAGTACAGCCTCAAAGATAATGACAGTTAGGTTTAACTATACCATAAGTGACAAATAAAATGAAGCTTATTGCTTTGACTCTGCTAAAAGTAGACAACAAAAATAAAACATTAAGCATACCATCAAATGCACAAGTAATAGAATAAAACAGATAAATTGGATTTCATCAAAATTTAAACTTCAAAAGACACTATATGCTTTAAAGAACATGACAAAAGAAAAGAACCCATAAAATAGGAGAAAATTTTTGCAAATTGTATATCAGATAAGAGATTTGTAATCAGAATGTATAAAGAACTCTTACAACTCCATAAGGCAAACTAGCTGTAAAATGAATAAAGAATCTGAATATATATTTCTCCAAAGGAAATTCACAAATGGCCAATGAGCACATAAACAAATACCCTGCATCAGAAGTCATTAGAGAAATACACTCCAAATCATAATCAAATACTGCTTTCACACCACTAGGATGGCTATGATCAAAAAGTCAGAATAAAGCAGGGTACAGTGGCACATGCCTGTAGTTAAAGAATTCAGGAGGACTAAAGCAGGAAGAAGGCTGGAGCCCAGTCTGGGCAACATAGCAAAACACTGTCTCAAAAGGAAAAAAAATAAATCAGATCACAAATGTTGGTGAGGATGTAGACAAACAAGAACCCTCATATACTGCTAACGGGATGTAAAATGGTGCAGACACTTTGTAACCGTCTGTCCCTTCATCAAATGATTAAATATGGAGTTTCCATATGACCCAGCAATTACACTCCTAGGTACACCTGCCCACATAGCAACCTGCACACAATGTTTATGGTACTATGGTTCATAACAGCCAAAAGGTGGAAACAACTAAAATGTCCATCAACCAAATGATTAAACAAAATACAGTATTATCCATACAACACAATTTTATTCGACCATAAAAAGGAATGGATTAATAATATGGATGGGCTTTGAAAACACCATGTTAAGTAACAGATCACATATTATCTGATTTTTTTTTTATATAAAATGTCCAGAACACAGATATCTCTCGAGACGGATCAACAGTTCCTTAGGGCTGGAGGTAGGAGGGTACACTGAGAAGTTAACAGCTAAAAAGTATAAGTTTTCTTTCTGAGGTGATAAGAGTGTTTTAAATTTTACTAAGAAAAGGGTTGTATATACCTATGAATATTCTTAAATACACTACATTGCATATATCTCAATAAAACTATTTAAAGCCAGGAGTAGCGGTACATACCCATAATCCCAGCTACCTTGGAAGAGGCAGGACCATGAATTCATGGCCACCCTGGACAAAGTTAGCAAGACCCTGTCTCAAGAACAAAATATGAACAAAAGGGCTAGAAGAGTGACGCAAGTGGTAAAACGTCTGCCTGGCAAACCCTTGCAAGGCTTTGGGTTCAATTTCCAGTAAGACAAAAAAAAAAGAAGGTTTAAATTAGATCATGTATAACACATCTAGACAAAAGTGAAAAAAGATAAATGGATATGGGTTTATTACACTAGTAAGATGTTCAACATTAGTTTAGATATATTTCTTGAAAATGTGTTCCAGAAAGTATACATTATGTAAGAGGTAATGAATGTTTGTGGGGAACTCCAAAGGCCCCATCCTCCCAGAATTTACACTGTAAGTGGCAAGACAGTGGGGGTGGGAGGGTTGAAATAGGGTCTCACTTTGTAGCCCAGGCTGGCCTCAAATTCGACTCTCCTGTCTCAGAGTGCTGAAATTATGGTATGTGCCAAAATGTGAAGCTACAAGACAACCTATTTATTTATTTTGCTTCATTGTGAATTGGCGGTATGGGGTTTGAACACAGGACCTTGAACTTTACCAGGTAGGCGCTCCACTACTGCCAGCCCAAAACCACATATTTTTTTAAATAGATACATTGTCCAACCTAGGATAGCTACTTCTGGTCAGATGGAGTCAACAGGCAGGAATTACTGTTATGCTTGAAAACAATGGTAAAAAAATATATACAAAATCTATGAAGCAGCAGCAAAAGACAGTGGACATGAGACACCAAAGTACAGTGATCACTGAGTGATGAAAAGTACCCAAGGGAGCCCAGCTTACTGTCTGGAGAAGGCCAAAGCACAGGGAGAGGGAGCTGAGTTGAGGGGCAGAGTAAAAGAGAGGTGAAGTATGCAGAGAAGGAGAAGCCAAAGATGTGCAGAGGGTGCCCCTACACACACACACACCCAGTACCCCAGGCAATATACAGAGGTCTGTACCTCCCTGAAACGATGTCTCCTGCCCCTTCACAGTCAGTCTTAGGTAACACACCCCTCATTCCTCAATCCTGGACTCCACCTACCACAGTTCAGAATTCTTCTATTCTAAAGAATAGATTACTTCAGCCTGTTCTAGAAGTTCATATGAATGGAATCATATAATAAGCTGTGTGGGGGAGGGGTCTGGCTTCATTTTGTTCAACATGATATTCTTTTTGCATGTCAGAAGGATATTCCATTTCACTGCTGAGTAGTAACACACTCTACAGTTGTAACACAATTCCGCTGATGGACATGTGAGCCATTCCTTTTTGTTGCTATGAATATCTTTTTTGGCAGTACTGGGGGGTTGAACTCAGGGCCTCACACTTGCTAGGCAGGCACACTACCACTTAAGCCACTCCACCAGCATGGAACTACAAATATTCTTGTACATGCCTTTTCACAAACATACTATTTTCATTTCTATTATGTAAATACTTCTTAGTAATATTTCTGGGTTACTTGACTGATTTTCAAAGTGGTTGTATTGTTTTGCATTGCCACCTGCACTGTATAAGAAAGAATTCTGGTTGACCCACATCCTCACCAGTACTTGCTGTCAGCCTTTTACATTTTAGTCACCACAGTGGATGTGCGCAGTGTGAATGAATGTGCATTTCCCTGGTGACTGGTGACAGTGCTGAATATTGTATGCACTGTGTTAGTCTTCTACCCATGCCTTCACCTGGTTACTTTTCGTACTGAGTTGTAAGAGTTACTTATGGATTCTGGATATAAATTCTCTGTCAGATATGTTTTACAAATATTTTCTCCCTTTTCTTTTTATTAATAGTATCTTTGATGTTGATAAGCAAGTTTTAAATCTGGATGAAATCGATGCTTTTCCTGTTATGGTTATTTATGTGTCAAGTTACTTTCTGTCTCTTCATGTCAGAATATAAATCATGGTTTATTTTATTCACCCATATATATCCCAAGAGCCTAGAACAATTCTAAACACTTATAATGTACTAAAATGAATGAATGCTTCTTTGTGATAAGAAATAACTAATAGCCAAGTTTTTACAGAAGAAATGAAAGACATCCAGGAGAGGGGCATAGTGAAGTTATGAGCTGGTAGTGATAAAGGCTGAGTGACAAACATAAAGAGATTCATTATACTATTCTATCAATGTTTCAAATGTTTCTATATGTGTATGTTTGAAAACATGCAACAGAAGTTCTGTTTAAAAGCATTTTAACACTTAGCCTAAACCAGCATGAACTCCCTTCCTTTAGACACAAGCCCAACCATCACTTCTTCTGCAAACATTGCCATAGAAAACAGCAAGGTCACCTTTGCTGCGGGCAGTAGTAAGAGCCCATCTTAAGCAACACACGTGTAGAACACACACTCACTCACTTAGGGAACACATGCACACGTCTGTTTACAGTGGATGTTCTGATGTGTATTTTTAGAGACAAAAGAATGACAACCACATTGATTGCAGGAGAAAATAATGAGACCCTTTATTATCTTGTATATAATGGTTCCGAAAATTCTAAAATAAAGGGAAAATTCTTCAACATTTGTTACTTCTCAATTTATTTTTTAACTTAATGAAGTCATCTAACATCTCCTGGCATCAAGAAGTAACAACAAGCACACTGAGTGCCTATCAGATGAAAACAACCACCGCCCTGTGATACACATACACTGTCCACTGGAATAACAGTCTACACGGCGATACACAATCATGTAATATAAACTAAGATCTGCACCTATATAAATGAGCAAAACTCACACGTCCAAGTAGACATTGGAACAAGTGAAATTTTTTGACTCAACTCTTGAAGAAGCAAAACCTTTTTTTACTTTTGCTGAGAGAGCAGGGAGGAACAGTTAAACATCTCAAGGGAAGACAGTACTAAGCAAAGCCTTAAACACACAGGAGGCAGTGGAACTCT